AGGCTGGCTCTAGTATTCTGTGCTCCCATTAGACCTACAAAACCTTCAAGAGTACTATACCAACCATGGCCATCAAACACATCCTTATCTTTCCATTCCATGAACCATCAATAAAGCACCAACGTCCTGGTATAACTGGTATGGCCGCAACTGTCTCTGACTGTGTTTCACTCTGAGTTACTTTTATTTGAGCCTTCTCCCACAGGGTGGATTCGGTCTCTGCCAGTATGAGTGTGTCCTTCGGGTCAACATCCAAATTACTAAAAGTTTTACTATTTCGCCCCTTCCAAATGTACCACAATATCCATGCAAAATGATGATCGTCCATTTTGGGAATAACCCTCCAAAATAAATGGTCCATATTGGAAAATAAAGATCATGTAGGGAAGGTAACTGGATTCAAAGGGATCCTTGACAATGCCCAAACTTGACGCGCTGGTGGACATTCAAAGAAAATATGATTAACCGATTCTACTTCAGCACCACATCTGTCGTAACCTATATCACCATTTATCCCTCTTGCCTGTAGATTTTTCTTAACCGCAATACAACCCGATAGCAATTGCCAAAGAAAATGTTTTATCTTGGGAGGACATCGTACCTTCCAGCAGAAAGCTTTCAAGGCATCTACTGTAGGTCCCTGAATCTCAGTCTGCCGTCCTCTATCCGGGTACACCCTTTCAACCTGATATCCTGACTTCACTGTATATTTACCACTTTTGGTGAAATGCCATCCAACCCTATCTGCCATTTGTATCATGCTAAGTGGAATACTCTCTATTATATTCACATCTTGAGGGTCTACTAAAGCACGAATCACCGGAATATTCCAAGTCCAAGAAGCTATATTGATGAGAGAATCCACTGTGAGATCCGAAGAAAAGGTTTGCTTATTTTTATTTGCTGGTCTCGGTTGAGTGGTTGGAAGCCAGGGATCATTCCATACTGAGATAAATGATCCTGATCCCACCCGTTTAACAAGTCCTTTGCTAACCAGAAATCTAGCTGAGATCATACTCCGCCAGCCATATGACGGAGAATATGATCGAATCGGTTCTAGAGGTGATCCATTCATATAGTACCGACCCTTGAAAACGCGAGAACAAAGCATTTGGTTTCTCAATAAGGCGCCATAATTATTTGCCAACCATAGCCGTATTGAAATCCTCAAGATCCTTAAAACCCAACCCTCCCGCATCCTTATCGAGGCATAATTTATCCCATGATTTCCAATGCATTCCTCTTGTGCTACCCCTAGGGCTCCACCAGAATTGTGCTACTGCACTCGTTAGTTTCTTCGTGGTTGCCTTAGGTAACCTATAGCATGACATCACATGATTTGGTAACGCCGTAACCACCGATTTAATAATTACTTCTTTCCCTCCCTTTGTAAAAAATCTGAATGTCCATCCATTGACTCTTTTATTTAAGTGTTCCTGCACAAAGCCAAATACCTGTATCTTAGATCCACCCAGATTCTATGTTCCTAGATATGTACCCAAGCCTCCAATATTCTGAATGCCTAGGATATCCCTTAGCTCTTGTTTATTCTCTTCCCCAATTCTATGGCCAAACTGAATAGAAGACTTTTGAAAATTGATTAGTTGACCTGATACAGCCTCGTATTCCTTAAGAATGGTGAGTATAGTTTGACACTCTTCCGGTACCGCCTTGTAAAAAAAGAGACTATCATCCGCAAAAAGAAGATGAGAGATCGCTGGACACGCTCTAGCCACCTTCATTCCTGTTAATCTCTTTAGTCACTCCGCCTTTTTAATATTGGTAATTAAAGCCTCCGTACACATGATAAAGAGATAAGGAGACAGCGGATCCCCTTGTCTTAATCCTCTCTGCGGGATAATGGAACCTTTAGGTTGACCATTTATCAATACTCGATACTGTATAGACGATATGCATTCCATCAGGAGCTTTATCCAATGAGGGTCAAAACCCATCTTGTGAAGTAAAGCTTGAATAAAATTCCATTCCACCCGATCATACGCTTTACTCATATATGTTTTGATCGCCATAAACTTCCCCTGACAAGATTTATTAGCTCGTAAGCCTGAAACATCTCCTGGGAAATTAAAATATTATTCGAAATTAACCTCCCTGGGACAAAGACCGATTGGGTTTCCGATATTAGCTTGGGCAAACAGCCTTTTAGTCGTTGACAAAGCAGTTTTGAGATGATTTTATAGCCAACATTACATAGGCTTATCGGTCTAAGCTCAGTCATCCTTGTGGGTCTCTTCGTCTTTAGAATCATACAAATGTGAGTAATATTTAAGCGAGCATCCAAAACTTCTGAGACCAAAAAATTGTTCACCATCTCTACCAAATCCTTTTTAATGACATGCCAGGAGTGCTGGAAAAACAACGCTGTCATTCCGTCAGGCTTGGTGCTTTCTCTGGATGCATCATGAAAAAGGTTTGTTTAATCTCCTCCTATGTGGCCGTTCTCAGCAACCTTTGATTCATTTGAGCTGTTATATTGGACGGAACTTCCTCCAGGAAACTATCGAACTCCGATGGGGAAATGGAAGTAAACAGTTCCTCAAAATAGCTCATTGCTACTTGTTCCACCCCCTTTTCCCCAGTTATCCAATTTCCAGCATCATCATGAAGGCCCACGATTCTATTGCGCAACCGTCTCTGTTTCGTTAAAGCATGACAAAACTTGGTATTAAGATCTCCCGAAGAATACCACATATTACGGCTCTTTTGATACCAGTAATCCTCCTCATCTTTGTAAGCATCTTGTAATTTTCTAGACACTTCCAAAATATCTCTTGTATTCTATTATCGTCCATCTGTACCTCCTCAAAAGCTCTTTGAAGATCTTGAATTTTCCCTCTTCCATATGGAGGATTATTCTTCCTCCACCTTGCTATCTCATACCTGCAATTACTAATCTTTGTGACCAAACCATCCCCCTGAACATTATTTTATTCTGTCGATTCCATAAAACCCTCCTTTCCAATCCATCTCTTATCAAATCGAAATTGACCCCTCCTCTTGTAGACTCTATCCTCCATATATGCGACTACTGGACGATGATCAGAACCCACCATCCCCAAGTATTCTGTATAGGAGTACGGGAATATTGTATGCCATTCTTTGTTTGCTAGTGCACGGCCCAGACGACATCTTATCATCACTGCCCCTTTCCCTTTCCCTCTACGTCCTTGCCATGACATTTTATTTCCTCGAGCCGGAAACTCAATTAACCCGCTATTCCTAATCATATTAATAAAAGGGACAAAAGAAACCAAATTCCTTAACGCACCCCTTTCCTTCTCATGATTTCCGGTAATCTCGTTTAGATCGCCGATAATAAACCAAGGTTCTAATATTGCTAGACCATACCGAGTTAATCGTTTCCAGACTTGTTCCCGTAAATCTTGTACCGGGTCTCCATACACAAAAGTTAAGAATATTTTTTTTCCAATCGCCACTGCTTCGACGTCAATCATCCGATTACTTGAGTATAAAATCTGTACTTGATACTCATTATTATAGAAAAGAGCGAGCCCCCCGCTTCTGCCAACTGGATCCACCGAAACCAAATTATCATATCCAAAATGCACTTGAAACCCTTGAACAAAATCAAGGTCTTGTTTTGTTTCTAATAAAAACAGAAATTCCGGTCTATGTTTATGCCATATTTCCCTTAGATAACTTATCGTCCACTTACTCCCCATTCCTCTACAATTCCAACTTAGTATTCTCATAAAAAAAATTTGGTGAGTGGTTTCCAAATGGGTTTAAAGATCCCCTATTAGTACAATTTCTAAGACCAATGCCTTCTCGTGGGAACAGAGTCCAAATTCTTCTTCCCCCTAATATATCTTTTACACTTTTCCGCCTGAGATATAAAATAAGACCCCAAAGGTTCCAAGACAACAAAGACTGTGATCGCTAATTTCTCAACGATGTCCCCCTCCGAGTATGTAAAAAACTAACTATCAGTATGCTTCGTATCCAGCATTGATGATGTAATGTCCCTATAATCTTTTGTTGCCAAACAATTTCAAAGAAAACTCCCGAGCCGTCGTAACTGGAGTGTAGTAGTAATGTCCTCAAGCACCATTGGTTTAAAGAGACCAATAGTACTTCTCAGAGCTGTGCACAAGCCTCCACCATTCTTTTTCCAAAATTCCAAAACAAACCAGCCAACCAGACCTCTTTCTTAAAATATGTGTAATATACAAGATATGCAGTCTCTAGTGCAGCACTCCGTGTTAAGGAAACAGAAAAAAATGTAAAGAACACATAACCCCATTTTATCCCATGTCAATGGTACAACAAATCGGCTTATAACTCTAATGCCATTATGAGACCAGGAACCAACAACACAAACCTCTAAAAATATGGTCATGGATGTTATTAAAACCGCAGAAGCATCAAAACAGCAGTAGTAGATTAATGTTTCCTCGGAAGCAACAGAGGAATGAAAATATGTAATGTCCCAAAATAGATTCCTACGTGTACTCCTTGCTGCATTTGATAAACTGGCCAATTCAACATCTCCAAGAAAGAAACCAGTGAACCATAGACAATACTCTCTGCTTAGTAATATGAACCCCCTTGTATGCCAGTGAACCGTACACCATAAACTAGTAACCCAGAGACAAGTAAACCCCAAACCAGTGAAACCCCCTGTATACCATAAAACACATAGCTGTATATGCCTTAGCCATAAAAGATGAAATATCTAGGTGCACATGTATCTACGTTGAAAATCCCACCACCATAAAGAAAATATCATTCCCCTTTTATTCCATAATTTTAGCTTAACAAAGAAACATTACAAATGGCAACAGAGGGCAAAGCTAATAATACCCATAAAACACCAAATAACAAAGCAACAAGCGATGCTCCAAGAGCTTATTAAGAATAAAACAACAAAATGACAAACAAATAGAAGAGACACCCACGAAAACCAGCAACCACCACAACTCAAAACATCTTTTAAGATGACTTGATTCATAAAACTCTCAGTTTTTTGCAGGACCTTGTTTTGGGTTTAAAGAACCCTTCTCTTCCCCCTGCTTGGAATTATCACCTTGACGACTACCAGTCTTAGCTACTTGGCGTTTGGATGCCATCATTTGAGCCGTCTTCATCTTGTTGGAGGCACCTGCAACCAAAGGCCTAAGCGGTTTGCGACGAGTTCCCTGCTTTTTCTCAAATCCCGCCATAACCTTTTCATCCTCAACCAGCTATGCCTGAGAATTTTCCATTCCAAGATCATCAGCCTCACCAGACTCTTGCATCTTAATATCCATTTCCACTTCTCCATCCGATACAATGCAATCTTCAGTCAATTCCATCTCCAACCCAGAACCATCAGCTACATATTGATGGGCCTCAGGTAGCATTAATGCCGAATCTCCATCCATATCCTTACTCATAATACCTAATTTCACCTTAGGAATCTCTTCCTGTGTTTTCTGCAAATCAGCTAGGAAAGCTGGAGAAGGAAGCACTGGATAAGCTGTGTGCCCCTCCTAGTGACTCTGTTCCACTTCCCGGGACACTCCATCCTCCTTCACTACCTGTTGTGACTCGGATCGAGATCCTCTCTCACCTCTGGAATCCCCAGAAGTTCTTGCTCTCTCCTCTTGATGGTGAGCACAATAGTTATCCCTTCTGGAGCTCCGGTAACGAGAACCTTCCTCTTCCCCACAGTGACCGCTGCGGTTTTTGTTGTAATGCTTCTTACTCTCTTTCTCCCCTACGCGAACCCACTATGACTCCTCCTCAAACATTTTCCCCTTACCCTTTCCTTGATACTCCCGCTTCTCCCGTCCCCTCTCTTGTTGACCACCATTGCCATTCAACACCACTCCCTTGTAACTTCGAGCTCTATCATTGTACCGATCCGCATCATCATCCAGAAACTCCTGCTTCTTCTCAAAATCTTTATGTTCAAGGGACACTTCTCCTTCTTATGGCAAAGGCTGAAACAAGTTTCACAAAATCCAAAAAGCTTTTTATATTGAAGAGTGACTGGAACCTCCTGGTCTTCATAGTATTCCCCACCAGTAAAGTCCACCGTTGTCTCAAAGATCAACTCTTTGTAGCCATCCACAACCACTTGTACTCGACCGTAGTCCAAATCCACCTCCTTTGTTTCCCCTATCACATTCCCAATACTCATGAAAGTTGGTTCCTCCCAAAACTCCAGTGGCACTCCCAATACTTTGATCCAAAAAGTGATATCAGAGGGGTAGTTTCTTGCTTTCTTTGGTTGCCAACGTACCAGAGATATCATCCAGTAGTCGAAGTGGAAAGGCTGCATCCTTAACACCGTATCAATATCCGCTTCCTCATCAAAATCGAACTGAAAGCACCCTAAGCCCAAATCAGTGCCCACCACCTTCTCTTCTAAATTCCAAATCTTTGGAATGCATCTTCCAGTTAAAGTTTTGGAATAGCCCTTGATAAGAGCAGAGTTGTTGAAGTGTGGGACCGAGATCTTGAGTCTCTTACGACCTCCTTTACCATTATTCTTCTCTCCTGATGCTCAAATGAAATGACTCTTGAGACATTTTGAAAATAGAAGCAAAAGCACAGATGAGAATATCGTACTGTGAAGCTGAGAAGGTTTGAATTGTAATACAGAAAGGCTGAATCCCAAAGCCCCTTTTATAATACGCTCCACCACCTCCTCTTCCTAGGTTAAACCCTATTAATTCCGATGATACCATGAAATTAATGTGCCCAAACGGGATCTTCTCAAGCTCAATGTCAAAACCCAAAAAATCTCCACTTTCCTAAACTCCATTCTCTCTGATCTGACCGTAATCGTAAAAATCCTCAGGTAGAAAGACGAGATTCTGTTTTGATGATAACAAGAATCGTACCTTCGGTTTCCATCTCTTCAGATTTTGATGATTTCCCCTTTATTCCTTGTCGGATCTGCTTTAATATTCGAGAATCCCCTTGCAACTCCTGTCGCGATTCAGTTTCCAAAACTTCCCTACAGATCCCAGACTTTCCATCTTGCCTTCTCATAAGATTCGTCGATCCCCATCTTTGATTTCCTTCAATTCCTGGATTCCACCGCCGTAGATACATAAACCTAGTGAGTTGCCATCGAAATCACCATCCGCCGTGTTTTTATTTTGCCTTCTGAAATTTAGTTATGAATGATTATATTACCAAATTTAGTATACACTACTTCAATATACGATTGTTGGCAAAAATAAATATACAATTATTTTTTCAGAAAAGTTTTAAAACTTTAAACAAAACAAAGAAATATAAAGTTATATAAATTTGAATTATCAGGTATGATATTTTATAGTTTTTTGTTCAGTACACTACAAGAAAACGATTTTTTAACTAGGAAAATGTTTCCTCGTAATATTACGACGACATTACGAGGACTTTACGAGGAAACAATGGTTTCACGTAGTTTCCTTGTAAAGTCTCAAGAAAAGTGTTTCCACGTAAAGTCCTAGTACTATTACGAGGAAACTACGTGTCTTTCTGGTTTCCTCGTAAACTCCTACTTAAATTAAACTAGGAGTTTACGAGGAAATATTATTACTAGGAAACTACGTGTCTTTTCTGGTTTCCTCGTAAACTCCTAGTTAAGCTTAACTAGGAGTTTACGAGAAAATATTAAACTGCGATTTAGCGAGAAAATAGCGAGGCTTTGTTTATTTTAAATTTAAAAACGTGTATTGTACCTACTTTTCGTCGTAAATTTCTAGTAAATATCTATCTACCAAATCAAAAATTTCTATAAATACGACCATTTGTGATTCATTTCAAACACACCAAAAAATAATCAGCTAAAAGCTTGAAAGAAAAAAAAAATGTCCGGTCTTGGAAATATTTTCGAGTTACGGAGGTGGATGTATACACACAGAGATAATAACGGGAGAGTGACGAAAGAATTTCTCGAAGGGTTGGAGACATTTTTGCATCAAGCAGATTCTACACCGCTCACGCAGGAAAGCAGTAAGATGTTTTGTCCTTGTCGGAAATGCAACATACAAAATTAGGTCCTTGTGAAAATGTTTGGAAGCATTTAATAAATAGAAGTTTCATGCCACAATACTATATTTGGTATCAACATGGAGAAGATTATAGTTGTAGGAATGAAGCTAGCAGTAGTAATAGCAATTTTCAGGATGAACTGGTCGTTGATCATTTGCATAATGAAAATAGTTATCACCAGGAGGAACATATGGTAGATTGTGATAGTGTTCTTGATATGGTAGGTGATGCATTTATAACTCATGATAATGAAGTTAAAGAGCCTAACTTAGATGCAATTTTTTTATATAAAATGTTAGAAGCTGCAAACGAGCCAATTTACAATGGTTGTAGAGAAGGTGTCTCTAAATTGTCGTTGGCTGCTAGAAAGATGAGTATTAAAACCGATCACAATCTACCTGAAAATTGCGTGGATGCATGGGCAGTCTTGGTTAAAATATATTTGCCAGAAGACAATGTGTCTGCTGAATCTTATTATAAGATTCAAAAGTTGGTTTACAGTCTTGGGTTGTGCTCAGAGATGATAGATGTTTGCATCGACAACTGCATGATTTACTGGGAAGATGATGAACAGTTAGAGGAATGTCGATTCTGTAAGAAGCCACGATTCAAACCACAAGGACGAGGACGGAATAAGGTACCATACCAAAGAATGTGGTACCTACCAATCACAGACATATTGAAAAGATTGTACCAATCTGAGGAGACTGCTGGAGGGATGAGATGGCACGCCGAGCATACTCAGACGGATGGGGAGATGACTCATCCATCAGATACAAGAGCTTTAAAACAGTTTAACAATGTACATCTACATTTCGCTCGCAATAGCCGGAATATGTATCTTGGATTATGCAATGATGGATTTAGTCCATTTGGAATGTCTGAGAGACAATATTCATTGTGGCTAGTCTTTCTTATGCCGTACAACCTGCCACCGGAGATGTGCATGTGACGAGAGTTTCTATGTTTGACCATATTAATACCTGGTCCAAAGCATCCAAAAAGATCTCTCGATATTTTTCTACAACCACTGATAAAAGAGTTGAAAGATTTGTGGTCATTAGCGGTAAGGACATATGATTGTTCAATGAAAATGAATTTTACGATGCAAGCGATGCTTTTGTGGACCATAAACGACTTTCCTGCATATGGGATGTTGTCTGGATGGACTACACATGGGAGATTTGTTTTTCCATATTGTAATGGAATGACAGATGCATTTCAGTTGAAGAATGGTAGAAAGACAACTTGGTTTGATTGTCACCGTCGATGTCTTCCACTTTACCACCCATATCGAAGAAACAAGACATTGTTCAGACAGAAAAGGGTGGTCAGAGACACTCCTCATCCATATTTAACTGGAGAACAAGCACAAATCGATTACTACTGTGCACTAGAAACAGCTTCTCGTGGTGGTAGTTGGCATGTTCCCTGTAATATGTCAGATTGTTATGGTGTTCAGCACAATTGGCACAAGAAGAGTATATTTTGGGAGTTGCCATATTGGAAAGATCTTCTTTTGCGCCACAACTTCGATGTGATGCATATAGATAAGAACTTTTTTGAGAACATCGTGAACACTATATTGAATGTCCCAGGGAAGACGAAAGACAACATAAAATCGAGGTTGGACTTACCCGATATCTGCTCAAGAAGTGAGTTACATATAAAATTCAATGGGCAAGTTCCAGTTACGATATTCAGACTGTCATCAGAAAAAAAAAGTCAGTGTTGTTCAACTGGGTGGCTTCAGAAGTGAAGTTTCCTGATGGGTATGTTTCAAATCTCTCAAGATGTGTTGAGAAAGGTCAAAAGTTCTCGGGGATGAAGAGTCATGATTTTCATGTCTTTATGTAACGACTATTTCCCTTTGCATTTGCGGAGCTACTACCAACAAAAGTACATGAAGCACTTGCAGGTAATATAATACGCAAGCATTAATTTATTTCTTTTTATATATGTACATATAAATATGATTATACTAATGTGTTTAATTTTTGTAATATATAAGGAATTGAAGCATTTTTCAGGGGTCTGAGCACACACACTCTTAAAGAGAATGTTGTTCAACAACTTTATGAGAACATCCCCATCTTAATGTGCAACTTGGAGAAATTATTTCCGCCGATATCTTTTGACGTCATGGAGCACCTAGTTGTTCACCTCCCGTATGAAGCGTTGCTTCGTGGACCTGTACATTACGGATGGATGTATCAGTATGAAAGGGCCATGAAAACTTTAAAAGGAAAAGCCAAAAACCTCGCAAAAGTTGAAGGTTCTATTGTTGCGGGAAGTTTGACGAAAGAAACATCACATTTCACATCGTACTACTTTGCACCGAAAGTACATACAAGGAAACGAGGTCCAAGAAGATATGATGATGGTGGTGTCATGCCGGCATATATGGAAAAAGATGTTCCAGACTTCTTTTGTCAAATTGGGCGATTGGGTGGGAAATTGAAGGAGGTTTGGTAGTCTAGTGATAAAGACGTCCATAGTGCACACATTTATATTCTTCTGAATTGCAAGCATCCATTGATTCGTTATTTTGAAAGGTAAACATATAAACTTGTTCATACACATTTATATATTTTCAATTGATTAATTAACATAACAGAATTTTACAGCGAATTTGTGACTCAAGTCGAAGAAACAATCCCAGGTATATCGACAATTGAGTTAAGCACAAGGAAAGATCAACACTTTATCAAGTGGTTGAGGAAACATATATTATAACTTAAATTTTTATGCATACATCCCTGATAGTAAGTTTAATTTCAAGTAAATGTGATTTTTTTGCAGGTTAAATATGACGATCCCGCTTATCCCGCATGTTTCGCGAATTACTTCAAGGTCCTGTTGCAAAGGTCACCACATCATCGATGTATTTCAAACGAGGCTATACTTTTCATATCTATGACTATGGTAGACAGCGGGCGACAAGTAATTATGGAATATGTGTGAAAGGCGAAACAGATTTCTACGGGATCTTGCAGGAGACTTATGAAGTTCAATTCCCAGGATTATTGAGCTGAAATGCGTCATCTTCAAGTGTGAGTGGTTCGACCCCGTTGTCAGTAGAGGTGTTCGGATTAACAAATTTGGTGTAGTTAATGTTAATGGTGGATGAAAGTACAACAAATTTGAGCATTTCATATTAGCTTCACAAGCGGACCAAGTTTGCTTCATTCCATACTCTCGGATGACAACCTCAGGAATAAATTGGTTAGCTGTTATCAAAGTTACACCTCGTGGACGAATAATCGCTGGAGAAGAACCACCATTACAAGAGGAACACACCAATGAAATCGAGGAAGCTGTAGCACAAATTGATGAAATCCTACTCATCGATCCGCATAATTGTGAATACGAATATGTCTCGGATCATACAACGGACGAAGCTGTTGAAGACGAGTTACGAAGATGATGATGTTTCTGGTGATGATGCCGAGAATGGCAATGATGTATCCGAATGATGTTGTATGGCAATGATGTATCTGAGTTTTTAATATTAATAATTTTAAGACTTAATTAATTACGAAAAATGAAATGGAAGTTTGGGAAGTTATGATTTGGGGTTTAGGAAGATATAGAGGTATAAGTTATGGAAGTTGGGGTTTAGGGTCTGTGGTTTCGAATTTTAGGGATATACAAACCTTTCCTTGTAAAATCCTAGTAATGTGAAAATACGGGACTTGTTATCTCCTCGTAAAGTCCACGTAAGCAGGTTTCCTCGTAAAATCCACGTATGCAGTTTTCCTAGTAAAATCCTAGTAATGTGATTTCCTTGTAAAGTCCACGTAAGCTTTTTCCTCGTAAAACCCTCGTGAGGTGAAAACGCGGGACTGGTTTTTTTTCCGTAAAGTCCACGTAAGTTTTTCCTCGTAAAATCCCCGTGAGGTGACACGGGACTCATTGTTTCCTCGTAATGTGACTAGGATTTTACGAGGAAACCAAAATCCCTATATAAATTGAAGCAATCCTATTTCTCTCATTTGTAGTTGTATCCTCTCCTTTTCCTCTTAAGGTAATAGTTAAGGAATTTAGATAAGGTTGTTAGTTTAGGGTTTAGGGAATTTAGATTAGGTGGTTAGTTTAGGGAATTTATATTAGGTGGTTTAGTTTTGGGAATTTATATTATGTTTTGTTTTTTAAATGTTAATGACTAATATGTTTATGTTTTTAAAAAATATTTTAATGTTTTAGATGACTAGAGCACAAAAGCTTAAGGGTAAGCAGCGGCCGCCAGTCGGGTCATCTTCTTCAGGTCCTCCTACAGGCGGGACTCATTATGGGGACATGTTTGGCCGTGAGCGGGGTCCTCATACAGGCGGATCATCTTCTTCAGCTACCGGTTCTTCGATTTCGGAGAGTGTTCCCGAGTCTCAGTTTGCTGCATCACCCATACATCCTCATCCTTTTCCTCCTCATCCTCCTCCTCCTACTCCTGTGGCCGGGGTTCATCCCGATATGCAAGTGCCGCGAGATGCTCCGTATGCTATGTACACTGTCGAGGATCTTCTCGCTCAGCCAAGCAAAGAAGGTTTACCAGTCCTAGATCCCGACCAGACAACACTTACTTAATATGTTTCATTTTTAATTTTTTATTTATTTATATAAAACATTAATTAACAAATTTAATACTTTTAATTTATTTTTTGTTCAGGTTTGGGGTTGACAACTGTGTCGCTCGAAGCGTCACCGACTGTATCAAGGGCTACTTCTCCGATGTAGCTCCAAACTGGAAATTGACGTCTCTCCACACCCAAAAGATGTGGTTCCAAATATTCGCTGTAAGTGATTAGTAAAAAGATTTAAATTTTTTAAGTTTTTTAATATTATTGGACTAGTTATTAATCTAATATTTTTTTGGTTACAGCAAAAATGGCGTTGGTCCATAGTAGTGAACGAGTGGGTGAAGCGTGAGTTTGAGCAGAAGGTGAAAGCACGATTGCTGGACATGGTCTCCAACTGGAAGGACGATTATGAGGTGGATGGTTATGAGAAGCGAAAACCCTCTTGCCTCACATATTCGATGTGGGATGGACTCATCCAGTATTGGAACCACACAGAGTCGATTAGAACCTCCAACAACTGTTCCGCTAACCGTTTGACCAAAGATGAGTATGGCAACACGAAGATGCTCCACAGTCCAGGTCAAAAACCTCACGCCGGAGTTCGTCTAGATATGGTAATTAAAATTTTTAATAACTAATTTTGTTTAATATATATATATATATTTAATTAATTTCTTAAAATATTTTTAGGCTAAAGAGACAGGACTTCTTCCATCTCTTAAGGAGCTTTACGAGAGGACCCACTATAACAAGGCTGGGCAATTTGTAGATCCTCGGTCTGAGCGAATCTACAACGAGGTTATTTCTAAGGTTGAGGAGGGCCAAACCTAGCTGAGTCAGTAGACTCCCGATGGGACACCCGTCGTATTATCCACACCTGACGTGGATCAGATTTTCGAGGATGTAAGTTTGTTTTCTTATTATTATTCATTTAATTTATGTTTTTTCATTAACTATAACATTAATCTTTTATTTACAAGTTTTTTTCATTAACTATAACATTAATCTTTTATTTACAAGAGCGACATCGTCTTATGCTCAGGAACGGGACAATGAGACTGTTCAGCTGCATTCGGAGTTGCAGGCGACGCGTTCTGATTTGAGGAAGACGCAAGCTCAAATGGGTTCGCTCGATGGTTTTTCCGGACATTTTGGCAGCTAGAAATCCGCAATTGGAGATGATGTTGCATGCCAGGCGGGAACAACTAAGGATTCCACACCCACCGCCACAGCCACAGCCACAGCCACAGCCAATCCGCCAGGAGGAGGACGACGAGGTAGAGAGGAGTGAAGACTTCGTCCGCCAATTTCACGAGCAACAACCGTAGTTTTTTTTTTCTGTTTATTGTATTATAAATATTAAACTTAAATATTTACGCATATATTACTTTCTTCTATTATTTGAATTTTAAATTTTTAATTTTTTAAAAATAATTAATTATATTTTCATTAATATTTATAATTTAGGAAAAATAAGGTTTCCAAGTAAATTCCTCGTAAACCTACAAGGATTTTACGAGGAAATGTTTACGTGGAAGTAACGAGGAAAAGCTTTACAAAGCTCTTACAAGGAAAGCTTACATGGCTTTAACGAGAAAATTATTATGGGGGCTTTACGAGGAAAGCTTTACGTGGCTTTAACGAGGAAAACTTTACAAGGTTTTTACGAGGAAATACTGTAGACGACTTTACGAGGAAACGTATCCTCGTAACGTAACGAGGAAAGGACGAGGAAAGTTTAGTTACGACGAACATGTCACGACGAAATGCGTTTCCTCGTTATTTCCTCGTAAACCCCCTTTTACGAGAAAATAACTAGGAAAAGCTGTCCTAGCTTTATATGTGTTTTCTTGTAGTTGTAAATTGGAGAAAAATATCACCACTTCAACATCAAAAAATTTTTTTTTATTAAAAATACTATAATAGATATTTTCAGAAGTTTGAAGAATAAAACAATTACCTATACAAAAACATTATTAAATAAATCAGTTTGTTAAAAAGTAGTTCATCAAACAATAACCAAGCTATCCCATCTAAACATTACAGTTTTGGATCAAATATCATGTAAATTTATTTAAAATCTTAGCATAATTAAAACAGAAAACATATAATATCTACTTTCAATATTAGTTTATTTACAATTTAATAATTTAAACTTCATTTTATGATTTATATTTTTAAAAATCGATATATAGGTATTATATATATATATATACCTCGCATGTAGATGGCCTCTAGATTACCGGATAGATAGCACATAAGCCTGAATGTCCTAAACATTAGCCTCATCAATCCAGTCATTCAAGTTAAAGAGATCTATAGATCGGTAGAAGTATTATTCTCTGCCAATTTGTTTGAACCCAAAGAAAGCAACTCTTGCACTACCAAAATCCAAGAGATGGCTAGTTGCTACCTTTAAGAGAATATTATGAAGCATGGAAGGAGGGAGAGAAGCCAAGTTAAAGTTTGAGAGATATTTGTTTAATCGATTAAATGGAGAGATAATTATAAATTTCAACAGACGTGAAGAGATAAGTATAAACTGAGTATTCATTATCCCACTGAAGTGTGATTTGATAGACGCCTCGAGACACACGAGTTCAGAAGACACGAATTCTCAGTGCAATAACAGGCGCATGGGTTGGATTTGAAACTTTGAAAAACTCTAATCGATAAAGATATATAAATATGTATAAGTAAGTGAAAATAATTGATTAGATTGTCAAAATTCATGAAAGTAAGCATAATTTTAACAATTTAGATTGTCTAAATATATGAAACTATATAAAATGTTAAGAAAATTAGATTCTCTAAATGAAAATGGTAATATCTAATTTGACAAAAATCATGTAATTAATGATTAAAGCAGTTGTGTGTCTATTTAAGGGTGATTTGACAGGGTATTCATTTGATTGACTCCCCGAGAAAGCAAAACTTCTCTCACACACCTTCTGATTACAACAGTCGCGTCTCTTGAATTTGGAACTTTGTATAACTTTAATTTCTTAATTTATCAAGATTTCTAACTATGTATAAGTAATTTAAACTAAGTGAATTAGATTGTCTAAATTTATGAAATTAAGAAAAACGTAACAATTTAGATGGTATAAATATTTGAAACTATGTAAAACTTAATATATTTTAGTGAATATGTTTAATGAAAAAAATTAGCAGTATAGGATTAATGATTTATTATCCCAACTTCCATTTTGTAGCTCCTCTATTTATAGGTGATTTGATAGACTCCTCAAAAGAACACAACGTCTCTCATGAAAAAAATCATTTATAATAATCATTACACTTGCATTTAAACGCCACCCTCAACACTACACCGTCTACAATCCACAGTCATCATCACCATTGTATTTAAACTCGACCCCTAAAAAATCCACCACAGTAAGTTAACATTTCTCTGCAAAAATTCCCCAAAAAGAAAAGCAAAGAAAGGATTCATCATCTTCTCACTCAACAAACAAGATGGCACACTACAATAAGATTTCTGAAGTTTGTTATAACCCCAAAATCACGGCTTGGCGTTTCAGAGTAAAAATACACAGAATCTACCATTTCTATTTCTATCTTACCAGCAGTGGACCTTTCTATACATATGTTCTAGCAGATGAAGAGGTACGTTGTAACATCCCGGTTTGTGGTATATGGAAAGGCTTAAGAGAATTGATTTGGCTACCTATGTCACCAAAGTGCACTTACCTTTCCGGAGCACATCTAGAGAGAACTCCAGAGTTAAGCGTGCTTGAGCTGGAGTAGTCAAAGGATGGGTGACCTATCGGGAAGTGATTCGTGATACCGTGTAAGTGAGGCCAAAGCACGGGGAAAGGTCGGGTGGTGATTGCAGGGTCAGTAAACATGACTCTAGAGCCTTGGAAAATTAACGGACGGACCGTTGGAACGGGATGGGGCCCACGGACCGAGAGAGCGGGCGTGGGTGGCCCATTAGCCGTGGGCGGTCGGGGCGTTACAAGTGGTATCAGAGCTGGTTAGTCATCTCAGTTCTGACCTGAGAGGCGTCTTGAGACCTGTCGTGGAGCGCAACGAGGACGTTACGTTCTTTGAGAGGGAGTGAATTGTAACATCCCGGTTTGTGGTATATGGAAAGGCTTAAGAGAATTGATTTTGCTACCTATGTCACCAAAGTGCACTTACCTTTTCGGGAGCACATCCAGAGAGAACTCCAGAGTTAAGCGTGCTTGAGCTGGAGTAGTCAAAGGATGGGTGACCTATCGGGAAGTGATTCGCGATACCGTGTAAGTGAGGCCAAAGCACGGAGAAAGGTCGGGTGGTGATTGCAGGGTCAGTAAACATGACTCTAGAGCCTTGGAAAATTAACGGACGGACCGTTGGAACGGGATAGGGCCCACAGACCGAGAGAGCGGGCGTGGGTGGCCCATTAGCTGTGGGCGGTCGGAGCGTTACATACGTGTTAAATCACCATCTCTGAAGTTTCTAATAACATGTAACCGTGAAAAATAAAAATTTGATCCTTATACTTTTATTTATGTAGGGAACCAAGATGGAGATGACCATTTATGGGGATTATGATAGGTTTAGAGGACTAGAGAAGCAAGAAGGAAAATGGGTGGAAATCTTTCGGGTAGAAGTTAACTGTTCACTTGCAGGTTTCCATGTAACTTACTCTCGGTTCTATCTAGCTGATATACTCTGTACGCAAATCCACATCATCGATCCTCTGAACAATCATTTTTTTATGGACTTCAAGAACATCCATGCAATCCCTCACATGGACGGTAGGGACCGAAACTATCCCATAAGTATGAATGCTACTAAAATTTAAATATATTCACATGTTTAGATTTATGAAACTAAGAAAAAATGTAATACTTGTATGGTAGAAACAATGGGAGTGGTCTTCAACACGGAAACCCATTTCAATGACCCTGCAAATCCAAGGATGATGTTTTACATAAGGGATAACATGTAAGTAGAAAGTAACATATGATCAATGAAAAATTTATCTATATTGTAATTGACGCACCTTTGTATTCTGAATAGTGACAGTCGGATAAAATGTGTGGCAACTGGCGATCATGCGTATGCCTTCCGGGATGGTCTTGAAAACATGAGAGATCGTGGACAGGTGATTGTGGTTCTTAAGATGTGAAGGGTCTGGAAAATTTATGAGTAAGTGTAGTTTATGTGTCTAGTTTTAAATGTGATAGTTGAGTAAAACATTTACTAAACTCATTTATACAGGTTATTTTGGTCCTCCTGATCTACGGCTTAAGACTGAGGGTGGATTATCTGACTTCAGGTGCAATCCGCGTTTCTCGGAGGTTGAGGAGTTCATTCAGTCTCTACTACGCAGTGACCCTTATGTTCAGAGATATGGGGCTGTAGGTCTTTTGTAAATCTTGTTGTTCTCAGTGTTCTCCATCTTCGTATTTGTCTTAAAATTGGTGAAACTTTGTTTAAATGTTGGTGAAACTTTATTTAAATTTTGGTGAAACTTTGTTGTTTTAACTTTTTAAAATTTTCAACTTCGAAAAAAATGGTGAAACTTTGTTTAAATGTTGGTGAAACTATGTCAAATGTTGGTGAAACTTTGTGGTTTTAACTTTTTCAGTTTTCCAACTTCTAAAAAAATAGATGAACTAAAATTTGGTTCTCGTATAAATTGGTACAAATTTGTATTACTTTCACTTTCTCAATTGTCCACCTTTGTAAAATTTTGACAAAGTTGAAATTCGCTTTCGTATAAATAGATCATACTTTGGGTTAATTTCACTTTCTCAATTTTCTAACATCATAAGAATTATAAAAAACGTCTTCAAACTACATAGTTATCCAACTTTGTCATCGTTGTTGGAATTGAATTATCTTAGGAATTACTTCTTCTACATCACAGTTCCTAAAACTAAAATGAAAGTAAGAACAACAAAACCCCCTGCAATCTTTATCTTGGGCATTATTTTGGGACATTCACTAAGTTCACCTTCACTCCTTATTGTTACTTTTATAAGTTGAACTTCTTCTTATAGCATTCGAACTTGGTAGTCCAGTTGTTGTATCTCATCGGTGAAATCTTCATCAACCCATTTGAAGACGTGATTGTCGTTCTCAAGCTACAACGGATTAAACATACCAATTAATAGAAGAACGAGTAAGCCTTCAATAACTAAATCTAAACGGATGTACCCTTTGTGAAGCCGCATAGAGACACCGATAATATTGGCGATATGGGTTTTGGTTGCTTCTGGAGATGAACTCGGTGGTGCTCACCCCGCTACAATACTTACTAGATATTTTTGGAATTCGTACTCGTCTCCGACCACTGGTCGTGGAAGATGAAGCGGACATCGGGGTTGGGTGGAGTTCGGCAGTCGGGAGAGAGATAAATTAGGGAAAAGATAGGGAATTCGAAGTGGGAGAAAGGAGAAGATAGCGAATGAGAAAACCCCCAAAAAAGGTTTTTAATACTTCGCGTAAACGATTTTGAGGTTTTAGCAAATTGAAAAGAGAGAAGTTCAAAATTCGAAAATCTGGGCGGGAAGAGGAAAATTAGAAATGCAAAATTTTATCCAAGAATTCCGTAGTTGAAGTTTCACCAAGATTTTAGTTTTACAGAAAACATCAATGTTGTACTTTTTAATTATTTCAATTTATCTTAGTTATACTCTACTTGAATAACTGATTTTATAGTTATACCAATTACATTATGTTTCCTTGGTTCATTTGTCATACGAGATGTATTTCCTAAATGATTGCTAACAAGCAATGAAATGGAATTTTAAATAATTCTGATTAGATCATTATTATCTTAAACATTAATAATAAATCACCCTCTTATTACTTCCATGATTTATTAACAATTTTAGAATTTACAATCTTATTACTCAGGTTTCCTATCATAGTTATAGCAGTAAAAATAAAGTTTCACATGGTTGTACAACACACAAAAACAAATTTCACCTCACAACGTTCCCATGCAATAAAAACATCAAAACTGAAACTGAAAGGTTTACAACCTACTTCACCTCACAACGTTTCCTCTTATGTTTCTTGTGGGGATGTTCATCGTGTTCCAAACCAGTGCCCACATTCTCTTCCTCTCCATATCCACTCTCACACTCACTATAATTCCTACTATATGAGCTTTATCCAATTCTTGATAGTTGCTCGATTGGATATCCTCCACATGCAAAATACTTCTTCTTTGCTCTTTATCCATTGATGTTAGATAAACAAACACATCTTCATCATCCAAAATATATGATTACCTCTTAGGTTCCACTACTTTTTTATCCATTGATGTTAGATAAACAAATACTTCTTCATCATCCAAAATATATGATTACCTCTTAGGTTCCACTACCAAGGGAATGTAACCCAAATTGAACCTCTTCGTAAACGGACATATTCCCATCTTCCTGCATATCCTTTCCTTCAACAATGAATAAGTGATCTCCTCCAATGATGATGTCTTAAAGGATATAACATACAAACGAGTATCGGTTGGAATCCATTCATAATCATCTCCAGTCTTCGAAGAATGTCCATCATAATCAAAGTGTATGTTCGTCGAAAAATGACACATTGTCTGCAATATAAAAAAATTAAACCATCAAAGTTATACTTGGTTATACAGTTATATAATTAAAGTTATACTTGGTTATGCAATTATACCATTAAAGTTATACTTGGTTATACAAATATACCATTAAAGTTATACTTCGTTATACATTTATAACAAAGTTATACTTCGTTATACCATGTTACAGAGTTTTGTCAGTATTCAGCCCGTCTAATCTAAGCAAGTTTTCCCAAGTTTTAGAGTTTTAGATGTTTCTCTCAAAACCAAATAGTAATCAGCTTTCGTTGATTGAATCTTCCTTTCATTCCCGACGTTCAATTATATAGTTGTTGATTATCCAATTAAGTAATAGATAAACCATCCACACTTTCCGATCATCATACACAAATGAACAAGAATTTTTTTATTACTACGAATCGATAATTCAAAACCATATTATAATCAGCTTTGATTCCCAACATGCATTGATTATTGAATTCCCTAATAGACAAACCATCCAAACTTCCAATCCTTTACTAGTTCATACACAAATAGAAAAACATGAATTAAGAATAATAAACATTCAATAATACTTTGCTTGATTAAGTTGTGCTACATAAATACATACAATATTGGTGCACATGTCATCCTATAATTGGACTCATTGTTCTACAATTAAATATTTTGTATATATCTATGTACGCGAGTTGTGTGGATTGTAGAAAAATTAAGGGTACACATAGCATACGTTATGGAAGTCTCTTTCATGAAGCCAAAAGATGGGACTAAGGGTCCGACTGGTTTCCCCGCTACCACCCGCAAACGCAGCTTTTGCGGTTGATGGCGGTTGCTAGCGTTTTGCAACAATCACAAAAACCGCTACAAATCGCTTCAAACCGCTCCCAACCTCTTAAAATCAAAAGCTGGTTTCAGCTAGTGTTTGCGTTTGCGGGCGATTGCGGGTGGGTAAAAAACTTTTTTTTTTAATTTAAAATTAAAATATAAAAATAAAAATAATATAACTAAAACTATATCTACCTTTTATTTTTTAATTTAAATTCACTAAAAATATCATAATCTATTTATAAGAACTTTAAATCAAGAATTTTCACTATATTTTTCAATATTAAATATATA